TAGGACTCACGCGGTAGGCTGTGCATGCTTAGTTTCACAAAGAGTTTACCTACGATGTTTGGCTCAAGACATGAACAAAAGGATAGGAGCGCTAGCTGCATTAACTGCGGTAAGCCTCCCTGGGGTTCGTGTCTTGGTGTCTGTAACTATTTAAACTATTATTATGTTAATTGTTTAGTGTCTCCACTCACCTATACCATCCCAGCATTGACTAATTTGTGTTTTGGTAGGGTATAAAATTTCTACTAATTCATCGTGTTTCATTTTTAACTCATCTGTTTTATCGCCAAAAATATTAACTGTAACATAATAGTTTTCAACCATTGTTGCTTTACCCCCACAATTATTAATCTTTTTACAGTTTCTTTTTAATGTTTTATCCATTATGTGTTCATATATCTCGTTCATCCATTCGTGATTTTCTCTTCCGTATTCACTTATCATATTGAATACTTCTTGTCGTAAATTAGCAATTGGCGCTGCACGAGCAATACTACTTAATGTTTCTACGGGTTATTTTCAATAAACGTTTTCACGGTCTTAATGGTTTGTTCCTGACTTGTCATTTTTATACTAATATACTAAGGCGTTTTATCTTTAAGTCTTTTTAGGTAAAGTTTTTTACTGCAGCATCTTATCCATATCTACTTATTTACCAGCAAGAACTCGTGTCTCATATATTTCTTGCTCAGTCCTTCAACAACATTGCGTATCTATTTACTTCCTTAATCTCATAAACTTTATCGCTCCGCTGACTGCGATTTTCTTTTCTTGATGTATAAGAACCCGTACCCTTAACGAATACCCTGACATCGTCTCCTTCTTTAATGTTAGGATACTTTCTTAAATACGTATCTTTCATCACTGAATTTGCTTGTACATTTACACCATTTTCGTTGTCCGTTACGTAAACGGTACTCCGAAATCCAGCCCCTCTTCGAGGTGGCCGAGTATCCTTTAACCCGACAGATAAAATCTTTGGACCCGGTTTCGCTGCACAGCAGCAACTCCGAATCACGGGCCCAGCGGAAGGAATAACCGTCCTGCAAGAACGCTCTTGTTGTGTAGCTTGTACCCACGCCACAACATCAATCTCGGCTTGCTGGATCGCTACTCTTTATAATTGCATGTGCCCGCGACTTTGAAACAATCGCGCGCAAAACAGTTCGCCGATGACCGTATACCATGTTTTGCGGTTGTAGAAACTTCTCTTCAAACCAAGCCACACTCCAGCCGCATTTATGGCCGCACAACGGATCAACGTGCATGTTTGGGAACCAGTTAGCCCTTCAGCGAGGGGTTGTGTAATTTTGCACGTGTGTAATTGGTTCCGTGTGTGCGTTGGGCCGTGGCACTATAGTGCTGTAGCAGGAAAAGGGATAGCTTTCATTTCCGCCGCGGCCTATTTAAGAGTATATACAATCAGCGCTTGTGTGCAGATGTATTCTCCGATCTAGAAAGGAGTTACACGGAAGCGAGATCGGGCGTGCATATGCACATGATCCGCAACCGATCACCCAAGTCTGGGTGAGTAGCATCAAAGAAAGGGAGGCGTGATAATCTTTTAGCAAACAGGCATTGAGAGACGAACCAACCAAGTCCCGTCGGAGTGCAAGCGATAACACGAAAATCCGATACAGCGGATTGTCCGAGTCAAATTCTGTCATATGTCATGGTTGTAAAGTTAAAACCCTCTCTGAGGTACTTCCAAAATTGGTCGCCAAGTTTCAGCGACCGCTGGCGTCTCAGAGTTCTTGTCACAGTATCGCACTGAAGCAAGCTGGGAGCCAAGGTCACAAAATTGATTCAGCTGCCACGCCGTGGCAGTTTCGGGGACTTTAAGGGAGTGGGCAGATCGTCCAGCTTTGACAGTTGTGCATTGCTGTGGCTGCTCCACTTGTACCGCTATGGTGTGCTCGTGATGGCCATGATCGGCCTCGGACAGGACGAAGTGCCTCTGGGAAAGACCGGTGCACGTATCATGGCAACGTACATTCGTTCTTCCTTTCGTTTCTTGCTTTGTACTTCTTGCCTTCCGTTGTACACCCCCAGGCTGCATTGTTGCACGCAGCATGAGCCGGCCCAAACATGAAGCGTAAGAGGGGACCAGAGAAGGGCCCCAGGAATCAGGAAAGGGAGAAGCAAGCCGACACCTTTCAGGTAGATTTCGAGTTCTACGATCCCGAGGAATCAGACTTTCATAGTGTGCGTGAGCTGCTCTGCACAGGCGTCTTGCGTTGTGTTGACTTGGACTTCTCTGGGCTAGCGGACAGCATCGTGGAACAGGTGAACATTGGGACTACGATTAAGTCCGGAGGAGAAGAAGGCGGAAGCGAGAAGAGCGAGGGAGCAGCCGAGAACGAGGACGACGACGAGGATGCTGCTCTCTGTGGCTTCTTGACCTGCCTGAACCTGCACCAGTTCTCGGAGAAAGACTGGCGCAACGGCTTGGTGTCCTTCCTGGAAAGCAAAGCTCACAGTGCTGGGATTGGGGTGTCGGAGAAGCTGAAGAAGTTTCTGACCGCAGACGCACAGCCAGGCCTGCTGGTCTCGGAGCGCTTCGTGAACTTGCCTCTGGAGCTTGTCCCGATGCTACACAAAGCAGTGCTGGAAGACATCTCCTGGTCTCAAACCACCGAGCATTGCCCGAGTGAGGCCGGGACGCCCGTGCTGCGCCGCCGCCTGCAGCATTGTGTTCTCTTCCGGATCTGATTTTCTCAGAGGAGCGGCCCTTCTACTTCTTCACTCATTTCCTCCTCCTGGCACGATGTCACGCTGCTGACGCAGGTGGAAGATAAGAGAGCCGTGAAGCCGGTGAATCTCGTACCGCGAGGCAGCCCTGTAGATGGCCGTACTGTTGCCTTTGCCCGGCCAGAGGACCTCAGTTTGAACTCTGCCCGAGCTGTCGTTAGTCGTCATATCCCAGGACGAAGCCTTAGCCCGGACAGCTTCCCTTGCCTTCAGCTTCCCGCTGGCTGGAAAGCAAAAACCCGGTGGGGGGGGCCGGGGCCCCAAGTCCGGGCCCAAGCCTTGCACTCGGCTAGCGGTGGCTCACAGAAAGATTCGCTGAGGAGGCGGCGTCCTGCACACGGGCCCGCAGTGCCCGCTGCGGCAGTGGACGAGCGCCCTTCGGAACGCGTAGCCGTGCTCGGCTTTACCCGACCGGCCTACGAAAAGGCGGTGGCTGGCCTCCGAAAGGCTCTGGAAGCAGAAGCAAAGGCTAAGGCCATGCCGGCCAGTCTTCCTTCGTTCTGTGCAGGCTGCATTCCATGCTCTCTCACTGCGTTGTGCTTTGAACCGTTTCGACCAGGTGTGAGATATCTGCGTGGTTTCACCGGAACTATTTCTGCTCGTCGAACATTGTCGAAGCAAGGGAAAATCGTCGAAGAGAGGAAGCTCTATACTTGTGTTTGTGACTGATGCAATGCAAGCATGTGAGCATTCCGTTCGCAGTCTTGTCGGTTGCGGAGCTGACAGCAGCACACCCCCGTGAGGCAAAGTGTTTCTCAAGCTTATGCGCATGCAGTCATGTAGTTCTTGTCGAGACGCCAGCGTAGCGTGGCACTTGTCGCATATCGCGCGCAAAAGCTGAAAACATCCGCAGAACTGAGGCTGATGCCAAACACCACCTACTGCCGGCAGCTCTTCTTTCTGCATATCCCGCGACGCAAAGATGGATGTTCTAAGATTCCAAGGCAAAGAATGGGTCACCACCGAAGAGGCCACGAGCTTTGAGTGTTCGTCAGTTCCAAGACAGCTTGTCTCCGAGGCGTTACCGCTGCCTTCACAGCCGTTTCTCACAGCATACATGAGTGCTGGGTTCCGAGGTGACGAGACCGACAGGATGTCTAAAGCTAAACACTGAGTCGGCTCGAGTCCGAGGTGCTGGCTCTGGCAGCGCTGGTCTTCGGCATCACGATCCGTAGCCTACGGCCTCAGGCGCAGGGCCGCGGGGCCGCGGCCTCGCGCGGTCTCCGGCTTCCCGCCCCTTTGCGGAGGCGGTGCGGCGCCTTCTGGCCGATGCTGGAGTGGCGATGCACAAGGCGAGTGGGTCGAAGAGACTCAGCTCTCAGCTGTGGGCTCGTGGGCTCCCTCTTCCTCTGAGGTGAAGAAGACGGCAACGGAGATCGAACGCCTGGGACCCGGCTGTCGCACCGTGAGCCTTCTCTGGCCTCGAGACCCTTTTGTCGAGGCAAGATCTTCCACCTCTGCGGTTTGCTGGTCGGCGCGCTTAGAGGGCAGCCGGTCCCCATGGTCCTCCCTGTTCGGCCTTTCTGGTTGAGGTTCCGTTGGCCTACCAGCTCCTGCTCACTCATGGCGTCCCCAGAAGCGGGGGGCGCCTGCAGAAGCATGTGACGAGTCATCTAGTGCCAAAAACCGCAGAGCGCCGACCAGGTTTCTGTGTGCAGCTCTGCTGGCTGATCACGGTGCTCGGGGTCAGCCGCGAGCCCGGGTGTTGGAGACACTTGCCTGGTCTTGCGCTGTGGTCACACTGTTGGGTCTCGCCACGTAGAAGGCGATTCTCGATTCTAGGAGTGGTTCTCTGAAGCGCTCAAGATGCCTCAAATGTCAGTGCTGCCTTGTGGTCGCCGTGGTCCTGCACCAAACGTGCGATTCGAGCACGAAACGGGGATTCAGGCAATGGGGATGCGATCGTCACATTTCTGAAGCCCTCCCCCATCTGAGGCGATCCCAGTTCATCACATAACTGAAATGCCCATCCTCATTCGGCGATTCCGTTGAGCACAGTCATCACAGTTCTTAACCCCCGCCCCCTGCTTTAGCGATCATCACATAGGCTCTTATAAAGATGCCAAAAAAAAGAGATGAAATCCTCCCTTATTTGGGCGGCGATCCCTCTTCGGTGATCTCACGCTTCACGCCGCTTCAGGGCGATCCGACCACGTCTCTTGTGTTCCCCCACACACTCTCTCCGATTCTGGGCGATTCCGATCACTTAAAGACTCCACGGGGTCCAGCGTGCCCGGTGGTCCGGGTGCTCCCGGCGCCTTGTTTCTGTGGACCCAGGTTTGAAGCTGCAGGGTCGAAAATATTGCGGTCCCAATGGGTGTCAGCAAGCGCTTGAGTGTTTGTTTAAAGCCAGTTGGCATTTGCTCAGCTTGGCCCCAGAAGACTTGCAAAGGGCGGGTCGCTCAAGAGGGTCAGCATCTTCTGAGCTGTTCTTTGTAGCCGACTATGTGGTCCAGGAAAACCTGCACGGAGAAAGCAAGAAAGCAAGTGTGCGCCTTCTGCCGTTAGCAGGTGCGGACTGGCTGCGCGTGCACGTCCCCTTCGTCCGGGACAATTGGCCCCTGAAGTCCATCCTTCGAGAGAAGGAGGCGGACCGGCTCTGTGGAGGGAGCCGCTCAGCCGGAACGGTCCAAAGGCGCAGCGAAAGGACCGGCTCTGTGTCCAGAGTGACCGATACCGAGGCTATTTCTCCCTGGGTTGCACGCTGGCCATCCAGATGTTTGCACCCGTGCGTCCTCCTGAGAGCCCTCTCTCTTAGTGCAACAGATTTCCGAGGGCGCAGCAGCACTTAAGGCACCACTTCGTGCACCGCGCAGTTCTGTCTGAGGATCGCGATGACGTCCATCCTCTTTCTCGTGATGGGAGACATGGCAGCGGCCCTCATCGGCCGATCCTTCGGCCAGAGCATCTGCAGTCCCTCGACAGAGCAGAGACAGAGCCATCGATCGAAGAGACGTGCCAAAAGCGACTGCGCTGAAGGCATAGGCATTGGGCCTGGCGGCAAGAAATCCGTGGAAGGGAGCACGGCTATGCGACTCGAGCTGCACTTACCCTTTTTTTTCGCCTGTGTTTCGAAGCACTTGTAACATGAGGTTCATGACCTGCTTCGTGCCTTGGCTTCAAGTCTTGTTTGCGAGTTCGTCCACGTTGAGGTGAGCGACAGAGGGATTCTTGCAGGATGGTGTTGTAGGGATGGGGCAGTGAGCGTGCCAATCGCCTAGGGCCGACGTGGTACAGTTAAAAGTTTAAAGGCAGCGAAACTCGGGATGAGAACGTTTAGCAAGATAACGATGGAACCGTACTGCTGCGTGTCAATGTCATCACAATGTCATAGCGATGCTTTAGGTTGTCGCCAATGGTCTCGAAAGAAAATATAAATGCGGTTTTTCGGGTGCCATGACTACCGCGCATGGAGAAGATCGGTTTCAAGATCCTGACCTCTTGTAGCCTCTTTGATGCTCAGCTCAGTGCTTTGCCTCCATGTTTTTCACTGAAAGGCGCGCCGGGGGCGCCGGGGCCGGCCCGCGTGTGTCAGCGCTTCGTTCGGTGTTGCTTCAGCTCAGCGGTTAGTGAGTTAGTGCCTTTTTTTTTCGCAGGTTACGTTCTGCTACGTTTCGCTACCCTCCACGCAATTTTCCTTTCTGGCGATTGTATACAGTTGCCTGGTCTACGCCTCTACGCTCTGGCTCAGTTGACCGGCAACCGGGTCTGTTCTGCAGGGGTGGCGCCGCAGCTCATGGCGCAAACTTGGAGGCAGAGTCCGAGGCTGTCTTCTGAACTGGTGGGCTGGTGCAGGCTGTGTCCCCTGCACCGCCTTTCCGGTGCTTGAGCGATCAAAGCACTCAGCCATGCTGTGATCGTCGTGTGATGGGCTTCGTTGCGCCTCCGTGGTTCGTTTTCAGTGGCGAAGCAGAGCACACGTCCAGTGCTGCCGGATTGGGTCGCACAGTGCTGTGAGGGCCTTGATTACGAAACCAGTTGCCATCTCTTCTGCAAGTTGGTTATGAAAATCGAAGGGATTAATTATCTTGCTTTGTAAGGCCGACCAGGCCGGACTGAGCATCTCTTTGTGCCGAGGGCAGGAAGATGCGAAATCTCTTGCTACAAGTCTTGGCCTGATTACCATGCGATCTCCAGCTGACAACAAAACGAGTTCAGATGTCCTTGCAGTGCATGTGGGGCACGCTCAAGTGCCGGAATTCGCAAAAGCCATCAACTTCAAACTGCACGGCCACTGCATCGACCTCCGCCACTGAACTCATGCTCGTACTCACTCCAAGGAAACATCAAACATGCAGGTGCGGCTAGATCAAGCCGCACAGCACCTGCTGGATCAGCCTCTGCATAATCAGAGCAGTCAAGGACGTCAGCATCAAGTTCAAAACCTTCAGTTTCGTGATTCTGGTACACTTTGGCACCATCGAAGGCGACAGCATCAAGGCCAAGGGCGGCCAAGGCGTTTGCGTCGGTCATCCCGGGCTCAGGACCCGCCAAGATGAGTTTTTTAGGCTGGGAGAATCAGGTTGGCACCACTGTCGGAGGCATTGCTACAGATGGCCAGAATGGCGAGAATGCCACTGCTGATCGATGGTCGAAGGGGGTGGAGAAATGGAGAAACTTGTCCAAGAGGGCCGGCTGAAGCACATACTCGTGCCCAGGTTTGTTTTGACGAACAAAGCCGCCCTGAGCACTCCAGATCGAACGTCCCCTCTGAAGGCAAGTGCTCGCTTGGTTGTTCCAGGATTCCAGGACCGAGCCTGTTAGCGTTCTTTGTGGTTTGAGTGTGATCAGGTTCTACATCGACGGGTTAGGTGTGGAGATGTGAAAAACCGTTTTCTTGAACGTTGATCCCTATGTCGTGAACGGAGGCAAGATCCTTTCCAATGGGTTACCGAATGAGAGCAGGAATCCCCGCATCCCAGAAAAGAGCTGCGAATACTGCGACGAGCGTAACGGCATCTTCGGATTGGCCGATGGAAACCAGCTACTCGGCATTCTCATCGCTCATGGCGATGATGTGCCGAGTGGTGGCGACGACGAGGTGGTCGCAAACTTCAAAGCTGTCGGTTAAAAGCTAGCCTCTGGAAGGCTGGAGGAGGGCTGCTTCCAGTTCTGCAGCAAAGGCGTAGCGCGAAAGTGCAGGTGACTAGGAAAGAGCACCACCTCAACCTGAAGGCCCCAGTGCCCCAGTGGTCTCGAGAGCGTGAAAGAAGGCGGCTCGTCAGCCAACCGAGGTTTGACAGAATGGTTTTTCTCTTGACTTTCAGGAACGACAACTACCGTTCTGGGGTTATCGTGACCAATCAGGATGAGGCATTGGGAAAAGTGGATGCATCTGGGTGCCAAATGGACGCCGACGCATGGAGCCTGCCCACTTCGTCGCGGAGCTGCGGCAACGGCTAGGCATGCCTGATGCAGCTTCTGGTACATGGTGTCCCCGTTGTGATGGCATCTTAAAAAGATACTCATACCACGCTGGGCTGTGTGCTGCTGGGGGAAAACCAACCCTACGCCACAACGCCCTGCGCGACATCATCTGTTATTGGGCTGACCGAGCTGGTCTTCAGCCTGAACGCGAAAAAACCGGGATTACTGCTTATCTGGGAATCCTTACTGCGTTTGACTTGGCCGTCACAGGCCCGCAGCGGCAGGAGGTTCTCCAGGAGGCGGCCCGAAAAGGTCTGGCGGCTGCCATGTCTGAAGCACACCTCGACACTGCTCAAGTGTGCCAGCCGCAAGGTGTCCGCTTCATTTCACTGGCGGCGGAAACCACAGGTGCATGGGAGCCGGAAGCCTGCAAGGTCCTCACATCTCTAAGGCGGTCGCGACTCGAGAGGAAACCGCCCTTGCAACATTGCATGCAGAGCTCTTGCAAGAGTTTTCCGTGGCTGGGCTCGGGCGACCTTGCGGCGCCGCGCCGAGCTGAGTGAACAGGCCAATGCCGGCCCCGCGGCTGCAGCTGCCGCGCTTCTTTTTGCGGCTCAGTGAATTTTGGGACTTCGGCCCGCTTCGAGAGCAACTTGCGCCCCTCTTCAACTACGCGGAGTACGTGGTCTCTCCGGCCTTTCTGAGTCCGGCACAGCGACGTCGAGATCGCGAATCTTCCGTTCTTACTTCCGTAGGGCTGCAGTTTCGTTGCCCCTTTTGCATCGCCGGGGAGTGTTTGAGGCATTGCTCCGACTCTGTCGCTCTTCGCTGACTGGGTCCCCCTGTAGACTGGTTTTTGCGTTTTTGTGTTTCGTTGTCCAGCGGCGGAAGCGCGTCACCAGTTTTGTGTTTTTGGCATACATCCGGAGTGTGACTTTCGAGTGAGCCACACAAAGTGAGCCACCTCAGATTCGTTTCTTGTCAATCCGTGAGAGGTTTCATGCAATTCAACGAAGTTCGGCTCAGATTAGGTGATTAGGTCATGTCAGACCAAATTAGCATGTTTTATGGGCTTTTAGCAGCGAGCCCTGGCTTTTTTTGGAAGCACGGTCGCTCCAAGACATCCCGCACAGAATCTGGGAGTTCGGCTGCAGAGCCTCACCAGATGTTATTGCTGGCTTTTTCAACGTTCCGGATTTCAGGTCGCACAAACTGCAGAGAATTGCAAGGCGTTTGCACACGGCTCAAACCTTCGGTTGCGAAGAGGCTCTCGCCAACTCCACTCACATGGTGTCAACCGGGTGCTGCTCCACAAACTCCTCCAGGTACTGCCTCCATCCGCGAACATGTTGCGCAATTGACGACCTTCGAAGGATGCGCTAAAATTTTGTTTGTCTCGGGTTCGCCGTTCTAACGCAAAAGGCCGTGTCAACATTGATTTGTGCGACCCTGGCTCTGCCCCCCATGCCTCACTGCATTTTAGAGCCCTGGAGCTCGAATGGTTGCCCGCGGCAAGAGGAAGCTGGCGCGCCCCGGGTGTTGGTTCGCTAGCTTTCGCACTCTGTGCTTGCTTCTGCCCCTCACGCTTTTGGACGTGGGGCAGCCTCAGTGCCGCCTTGTGGAAAAACGTGTGGTGTGGATTGAGGCGTCAAGAAGCACCCTTGCCCCCCAAAACTGCTCAGGTCTTCGGATGCACGCTATTCAGCCCTGTGCACTTACGGGAATATGCCGTGGCGATTGGCTCACTGGTGGCCACGCTCACTGAGCTTTACGAGCCTTTAGGGATCAACGACAACGCCCGCCCCTTGGAGCTTTAAAGGTTTTAGCGTTCAGCTGTGTTCATCTGTCTGCCCGTTTCCAAGGTGACCATTCCACTTCTAAGAATCTTGGCGCCAATCAGATTTGTGACAACAAGGGGAGAAATCATCATCCTTGCAGCTTGGTGAGTCCCCGATTGTTGTCAGGTGGGATAGCGCTGACCTTCGGTTTCGCACGGACATACTCCTGCGAGCCAGCACGAAGCCCTTTGCTGTGGTATTTGTAAAATGTCCAGCGGCTGCAGCACTAAGAGTTGACAGCATTTGGATCTGCGACTTTCCAGGAGACTAATTCAGGATCCTTGGATGTTCGCAGTTCTTTTCCTTGATCTGCCGCGAGAGGTGAGCACGATCACTCGGGGCACCCAGTCTATTCCAGCTTCCGCCTTCCACGCAAAAGCCCCCAGCGCATGTTGTGTAATGTGCGTGCTCCGTTCCCACCCCGCCGTTCCTCACAATATCTAATTCATCAGTGCAGCAGATGAGACTTTCGAGATGCACGCGTGTCACCACCAAAAGACTTGGCACCGCACCAGTTTTGGGGTTGAATGTCGCTGCTCTTCCAGCCAGTTGGGGACTGATCCTGCAGCCATATCGAAGTGCTCAGTGCAGTTCTCGGAATGGGAGAAGGGGGGCGCCTTTCGATTTCCGAGTTTTGGCAGCAAGTGGCGGCGAAATAGTGGACCAGTTTCGTAGCACACAGTGCTAGGCCAGATCCTTTCCCAGAGTGCTTCCACCGTCCTGACCTGAGCATTTGCTGGGCTTGGCTCTGTGGGACTCGGGCTTGGACAGGTTGCCTGAGGAACCGAAGTCCTGGGCCGAGGTCTAAACCCTAGGCCCCTCCTACCTGGTCCTACCTTCCACTTCCATGTCCTTGCCTTGCACAAGGCCCAGCGTGAGCGAGGCTTGCGGCGAGCCGGTCGGGCAGGAGTGGATCCAGCCACAGTGCTTCGCTAAGACAGATGCACATCAACATCCGCGAGCAGCGAAGCAGACACAAACACACACACACACACACACACAGACACACACACACACACACACGCAGACGGACAGACACAGACACAGACACAGACACAGACACAGACACAGACACAGACACAGACACAGACGCAGACGCAGACGCAGACGCAGACGCAGACGCAGACGCAGACGCAGACGCAGACGCAGAC